CTAAATAAATTAGGTTAATCGAGTAGTGGATTGAAATGATCCGGGTCATAAATATCCGGTCATGGGTTGCAAACAACTCATTCTCAACCGGTTAAGGGTTATAAACGATTTGGTCTCAATGGGTTACAGATTGTAAACGGTTCAGCCATAACTGATTATGGATTGTAAATGGTTTGGTCACAACGAGCAACAGTTTGGAACGATTCATGTTTTATGGATTTTTGCTGAGTTTAAAAGATTTCGATTAAGAATGGGTCCAATTACTATTGAGTTCCGATGTAATCGTTTAGGGTTGTATTTGGTTTTGGGTAGTAATGATTTGGCTTGATTACGGGTTGGGTCATTAACGGTTTGCACAAATTCGGCTTAGTTCACTTTCGAGTTGGAAAAAATTGGGTCGCGTCGGGTTAGTTTTATAAAGACATGTTTTTAGTTGTTCGATTCCCTTTTGATTCGGTACTGAACAATTCAATTTAACGATTCGGGTTAGAAATTGACCGCTCTAGTTATTGATTCTATTTTATAATAACTGTTTAATTTTACTTGGCACATATATCGATGTAATTTTATAATCAATTATATATTTAATTATCAATTACTATAAATTGTAACAACTGAAAATCAATTATCTATTCGTTGTGACGATTCCAACAAAGTAGCCACAAAACTATATTTTTTGTTATAATATAACAAACATAAATCAAACTAGCGCAAGTAAATAGTGTAAAAATGTAATGGAACACTTAGGCTCCATTTGGTTTGATGAAAATTATGTTTACATGGAAAATGATTACCTTTATTTTCCATTTTCTTGTTTGATTTGTAAAAGGTTGGAAAATAATTTTCCCAATGGTGCATGGAAAATTATATCCATAACGATGGAAAACATTTTCCTTTCCTAAACGCGGGAAGCCACATTTTAATCCCTCTCCTTATCTTCTTTTTACTTTCCTCTCATCCATCCCCCACATTTACACTCCTATTTTAACTGTTTTTCTAAGAAACAAACAAAGGAAAACTATCTTATAATTTTGGATTTCTTTGTAAATATGTTTTCCATGAAAACTAAAAATTCATTGAACTTCTATCCGAACAGGGCCTTGTTAAAAAAAAAAAAAAAAAAGAAAAAAAAGGGGGTGCTTTTTTGTTTTTCCCTTCACTTCTTGTTATTGAAATTTGTACAAGTGTGTATATTCGTGTTTTTTTTTACTACCTCCGTTAACTATTATTTGCAACAAAAGGGTATTATTTGTGAAATATAAAATATTCCTTTGTTGCAAATAATAGTTAACGGAGTTAGTATTTATTATGGTTTTTGTTCTCATGTTTGATGTGATCTCTGTCACTTGATTGGCAACATTGTGCTCAACATTGGGTTTTAAATTTTAATCTGAAATTGATTGATCATGTATTATTTTGTAAAAAGTTTTAATATTACTTCTCCTGGTCCCTAATATTTAGTCGATATGGAATACGCTATTTTTTAATTTTTTTTTATTGAAATGTCTTTTTCACTTTTGCCAACACATAAATTCAATAAACAATATATCTGATTTTCAATAAAATCATATAAACTGTATATGTTATAAATGACAGGGTTTCAAACTATTAACTCATGACTTAAAAAGTTAAAATCACAAATATATTCACCACCCTCTCTCGATTTATTCACTTTTTTTATATATAAACACCTACTATTACCACCTTCTCTCTTAATTTATCCATTTTTTTTCCTCTAGTCACTCATCGATTTACATTCCTTTGTTTTAGTTCTTGTGGCCTGGGAACATTATTTTTACACAGTAACCGCATTAAAAACAGGGTTAGTAGTGTTTAGCCTCTTTGACAAACAAGGTAGGAATAATAGAGTGCTATTGGGCCGGATTGGACATTATTGTATCGATCCATTCGATCGTGATGCTATTTGAGTTATGCTTAGAGCAACTCTAATAGTTGTAGCTATGGACTTGATTGGAATTTCAATAATTCCCTAACTACTAACTTGACCATTGGAGCTAGAAAGCTCAATTAGCCTGGCTAAACAAATTGCTTGGGAATTAAACTTGCCAAAATAAATTGCTCATTGCTCCAATTTAGGCATTTAGCTCTTTCCATGAATTTTCTATCCAACTACTACTAAGCTAATAGCTAGCCATTGGATCAAAAAGTAGCTTAAATGATAATTAGCTAAAATGATAATTAGCTTAAAAGCTTATGTGACATGACAAGCTGATTGTTAAATTAGCTTGCCATTAGAGTTCCTTTTATTTGTTTAGGGAGCATTAGTTTTTATCAATTGCAGTATTATAGCATTGTAAGCAAACCCATAATATTACACCAGTTGAGAGATTTTGAAACTTGAAACTTATATTGATGCTGCTAGATTCTCCAAAACCTATCAAACAGCTTCCGTATGGTCAATGATTAACAGCAAGAATTGGTGTATCAGACTTCCAAATATGCACTACTTTATCGAATGAAAGCCTACAAATTCTTACGACTCCTCTAGTCTAGTAATGAACTACAATGAACTTGCACCGAACTTACAATTAAATTCAACTGGTTACAGAGTTAATTAAGCTCAAAAAGTAACATTACCACATCAAAAGCTAAACTGTGAAGGACAGCAAAAGACCATAATCTAATGCATTTATTAATTTATAGAACATGACCTGTGAAGAGTTCTTTAGAACAAACCAATGCGCTCCATAATTTACCCAACAGAATAATACAAGTATGAATTTTACTATCAAATCAAACTATCCAACAAACCTTTTTTCTCGTTGAACAAAACATGCCATAAGCTTTTCACCTAAACTTCATTTACGGGACTAATCATGCACTTTTGAGTATATAAATCGTACAAGGCATTTAATCAGGCACAGTTTTAATAATCACTGTTCAAGCAAATTTAGACAAGTGACAAGGCACAGTTTGATTTGTAAAAGGTTGGAAAATAATTTTCCCAATGGTGCATGGAAAATTATATCTCGATGGAAAACATTTTCCTTTCCAAAACGCGGGAAGCCACATTTTCATCTCCTTATCTTCTTTTTACTTTCCTCTCATCCATCCCCCACATTTACACTCCTATTTTAACTGCTTTTCTAAGAAACAAACAAAGGAAAACTATCTTATAATTTTGGCTTTCTTTGTAAATATATTTTCCATGAAAACTAAAAATTCATTAAACATCAATCCGAACAGGGCCTTGTTTAAAAAAAAAAAAAAAAAAAAAAAAAAAAAAAAAAAAAGGTGCTTTTTTGTTTTTCCCTTCACTTATTGTTATTGAAATTTGTAAAAGTGTGTATATTCGTGTTTTTTTTACTACCTCCGTTAACTATTATTTGCAACAAAAGGGTATTATTTGTGAGATATAAAATATTCCTCTGTTGCAAATAATAGTTAACGGAGTTAGTATTTATTATGGTTTTTGTTCTCATGTTTGATGTGATCTCTGTCACTTGATTGGCAACATTGTGCTCAACATTGGGTTTTAAATTTTAATCTGAAATTGATTGATCATGTATTATTTTGTAAAAAGTTTTAATATTACTTCTCCTGGTCCCTAATATTTAGTCGATATGGAATACGCTATTTTTTAATTTTTTTTTATTGAAATGTCTTTTTCACTTTTGCCAACACATAAATTCAATAAACAATATATCTGATTTTCAATAAAATCATATAAACTGTATATGTTATAAATGACAGGGTTTCAAACTATTAACTCATGACTTAAAAAGTTAAAATCACAAATATATTCACCACCCTCTCTCGATTTATTCACTTTTTTTATATATAAACACCTACTATTACCACCTTCTCTCTTAATTTATCCATTTTTTTCCTCTAGTCACTCATCGATTTACATTCCTTTGTTTTAGTTCTTGTGGCCTGGGAACATTATTTTTACACAGTAACCGCATTAAAAACAGGGTTAGTAGTGTTTAGCCTCTTTGACAAACAAGGTAGGAATAATAGAGTGCTATTGGGCCGGATTGGACATTATTGTATCGATCCATTCGATCGTGATGCTATTTGAGTTATGCTTAGAGCAACTCTAATAGTTGTAGCTATGGGCTTGATTGGAATTTCAATAATTCCCTAACTACTAACTTGACCATTGGAGCTAGAAAGCTCAATTAGCCTGGCTAAACAAATTGCTTGGGAATTAAACTTGCCAAAATAAAATGCTCATTGCTCCAATTTAGGCATTTAGCTCTTTCCATGAATTTTCTATCCAAATACTACTAAGCTAATAGCTAGCCATTGGATCAAAAATTAGTTTAAATGATAATTAGCTAAAATGATAATTAGCTTAAAAGCTTATGTGACATAAAGCTGATTGTCAAATTAGCTTGCCATTAGAGTTCCTTTTATTTGTTTAGGGAGCATTAGTTTTTATCAATTGCAGTATTATAGCATTGTAAGCAAACCCATAATATTACACCAGTTGAGAGATTTTGAAACTTGAAACTTATATTGATGCTGCTAGATTCTCCAAAACCTATCAAACAGCTTCCGTATGGTCAATGGTTAACAGCAAGAATTGGTGTATCAGACTTCCAAATATGCACTACTTTATCGAATGAAAGCCTACAAATTCTTACGACTCCTCTAGTCTAGTAATGAACTACAATGAACTTGCACCGAACTTACAATTAAAATCAACTGGTTACAGAGTTAATTAAGCCCAAAAAATAACATTACCACATCAAAAGCTAAACTGTGAAGGACAGCAAAAGACCATAATCTAATGCATTTATTAATTTATAGAACATGAACTGTGAAGAGTTCTTTAAAACAAACAAATGCGCTCCATAATTTACCCAACAGAATAATACAAGTATGAATTTTACTATCAAATCAAACTATCCAACAAACCTTTTTTCTCGTTGAACGAAACATGCCATAAGCTTTTCACCTAAACTTCATTTACGGGACTAATCATGCACTTTTGAGTATATAAATCGTACAAGGCATTTAATCAGGCACAGTTTTAATAATCACTGGTCAAGCAAATTTAGACAAGTGACGAGTTGAAATTCAAACTGCTGTAACATCTAAAATCAGATGTGAAAGTAAATAGCATGATTTAAGTTTAAATATCAACCTCTTACTTGGGAATGACAATCAAAAAAGGCCTTAAAATGCCATAAACACATGTATCAAAAATCTGAAAACAAGACCCGCAGAGAGTACCCTAGATTATAGAAGAAACTACATTCGAAAAATGTCCATGCCAATTGCCACACAGAAGCCTACATTCTAGTAACGGGCGATTCCATAAACTCTAATAACACCATCTGTGTATCCACTGAACAGTGTTTGGCCATCAGCGCTCCAGCTCAAACTAGTGCAGTAAATAACCTGGAAAAACAAAAATGAGTTAGCTTATGTTAAAGCTTCTATATATAAGATTGCATAAACTCCCATATAGTATAACAATTAATATAACATTTAAGAACGGAAAAGAAAATATTAATAAAGCTAAACCATTGCGACAAAGAGCAAAGGTCACCATGTAGTAATATGCCCAGCAGTAGCTAAAGCACAAAACAGAAACAAATTACTTCTAAACAACCTTTAAAACAAAGCAGATGACATGACTTACCTTCTTCTTAGATGCAGTGGTGCCTGCACCCTCAACATCATGTTCGGCTTCGGTCTTAAGGTCAACCTTCAAGTCCTCAACAATACTCTTGCTCTCCAAATCCCAAATCTTAATACCACCCTCAGTAGCAGCACAGAGCCAATACCTGTTAGGGCTAAAGCAAAGGGCATGGATAATAGTACCAGCATCAAGAGAGTAAAGCCTCTTGCCCTCGGCCAAATCCCACAACAAAATGGTACTGTCTTTGCCACCACTAGCGCACAAGGAACCATCAGGGGATACAGCAACAGTGTTCACATAACCACTGTGACCAGCCAAGGTTGCCCTCAACTTGCAGTTAGTCAAATTCCAAATCTTGACGGTCTTATCCCATGAGGATGAGACAATGGTTGGCTGCAAAGTGTTAGGGCTGAACCTCACACAGCTAACCCAGTCTGAGTGACCATCACCATCTTGGATTGTGTACTTGCACTCACCTACATAGTTATATAACATCGCCACAATTCATTAGGCAATTTCAAAACAGAGCAATATAAACTAAGCAAACCACATAAACAAATACCACCACTGCTCTTCCAAACAAATAAACTGTGAAAAACGATATGTATATACACAATAGCGAAATAACCGGAATTATGTGATTGATCCCAAAAACTTGATTCAATAGTCAAAACCTTAAGCTGTGTAACTGCACTACTATAAACACTACAAAACAATACACATGCAAGGTTCACCAATATATCAATCTACATTTCCACACCAAACAATGAAACTCCTAAACAAATATCGATTTCGAGTCCACTCTCTCTAATATTCACATTGTACTTTAAAAGATCAAAACATCAAACTTCAACAATACTTTAAAAGAAACAATGCATAACCCTAACCCTAACCCTAACCCTAACCCAAATACATTTCCTATAAATTAGCCAGATTTACATTGCGGAAGAAATTTAAGTTGGCCAAACCAAATCGCATATAATAAAATACAGTCTCTTTCATTGCAAACCATATAATTAATACTAACCAAACACAAATTACCAAAAAAAAAAAAACACATATTTCAAAAGCATAATACAACAAAAGATGATAATAAAACTGTAACAATATTCTAAGAGCAAAAATCGATAACTTGGACAATAATATTCCAAAACAAATTTCAAATATAAAATACCCAAATTCGACAAAATGAAGGAAAAATCTGCGAAATAATTGAAAATGAGAAGAGAGAAAATAGCATACCAAGAGTGTTCCAAAGCTTGATGGTACGATCCCTAGAAGCAGAAACAATCTGACGATTATCAATCGAGAAAGCGACGGAAAGCACATCCTTGGTATGACCAACAAAGCGACGAGCAGTGGTACCAGCAGCAAGGTCCCAAAGACGAAGCTCACCATCCCAACTGCCAGAAAGAGCGAACTGGCCATCAGAAGAAAGTACAACATCCTCAACAAAGTGAGAATGTCCAGTAAGACGGCGACTAGGAACACCATAGACCTTGTCCTCCTTAGTGATTTTCCAGAGGATGATGGATTTGTCCCTTGAAGCAGTGACAATCATGTCGCTGTTGTCGATTGGGGTTGCGATGGCGGTGACCATGTCGGTGTGAGCACGCATGGTGCCGCGGAGTTGTAGCTGCTCTCCCATGGCGGATGATAGAGGTTTTTTGGGGAAGAAGGGGGGCTCTGGCTTTTGGGAGGAGGAGAGAGAATTTGATGGAAGTGGGGAGGCCGGAATGAAGGAAAGTGTGGGTTTTATATTTAGGGTAAGAATTTTTAGCTAGGGTTTTCGTTTTAGTGGATTTGGGTTGAGGTGTTTTACGGGCTTGGTTTTGTAAATTTATCGGGCTGGTGATGGTGTGTTTATGTCCATTATGTTTTAGTTGTTGAGTCCTGCAACCTCCAATTAGTATCAATCAATCAATAATCATCAATAATCAATCTATCAATAATATATACTAAAAGACACACCAGTATGACATGTGTCATCAATAATCAATAATCATCAATAATCAATAATCCATCAATCAATAATACTACCTCTGTTACATGTTAAGTGCAACAAAGGGAGTTGCACATTTCCCAAGAAAAAAAATGAAAAAGCTAATCAACAAAAGTATGGGCATGTGATTATTGGATAATTAATTAATTAAAAAGCTCCATCCCATCATCACTACCACCTACTGCACCACCAGTCCACCACTCCCTGCGTACACCACCCACAACAACCACCATAGAAACCTACATACCAACCACCAAAAACCACCGAAATCACCATACTAACAACCGAAACCACCATACCAACAAAGAAAAACCACCATACCAGCATACTAACCACCGAAAACACCATACAAACCCACCCACTACCACCAAGATAAAAAAAAAAAACACCATACGAACCCAACTCTAGCTTACCTACCCGAAACCTGCCATTACCACCCTCTCGCCACCACCAAGATCCGAAATCCACCCCACCTAACTCGCATCCACACCGCAAAGCTACCCCACGCCCACCCTGTAACCACCACCACACCTTTCCTTTGGAATCGTTCCATCTTTCACCATTTTTGCTCTAGATCTAAGTTTTCAAGCTCAATCTCAAATTCTCTTTTTTGGGTTTCAATTTATGGTGACAGCTTTACATGTGAAGAGAAGACGGCGGCACTCTAACAAGGGGGAGATGGGGCAGCGACTCAGACGAGAAGGGGCAGCGGTGGTGGTGGTGCGGTGGTTGTGATAGAAGAGAGAAAAAGTGGTGGTGATTTAGAGGGAGGAGAGAGAAAAAGTGGTGGTCTTGGTGGTGGATGTGGTGGTGAGTAAGGAGAGAGAATGTGGGTTTGGAATTTAATAAGTGATGAATTAATTTTGGTTGATTAGTTAATAACATATGATTTGATGTGTTTATTAAAGTTAAGTAAGGGTAGGTTGGTAATTTAAAACAAAAAAATTTACTAAAAGAGGAAAGTTTTCATTTGTTGCAGATAATATGTAGCATCCTTTTTTGGAAAATGTTGTACATAACTTGTAACGGAGGTAGTATATACTAAAAGACACACCAGTAATGACACGTGTCATCTTCTGGTGTGTCCTTAGTTTATTTTTTAAAAAAAAAATCTTTTAATGAAGGAAACAAATAATTTTCTAAAATAATAATATTTTTTTTTCTTATATTCCATATTAACATGTAATAATAATTATATTTGAAATAAAAAGATATTTCACAAATCTTTCTAAATAAATTTGGTATAAACCTAAAATTAATATTTTAAAATAATTTGCGATCTGTTTTACAATAACAAAAAATATAGTTCATATTGTTTGTCTACTTTTGTGTTTATTGTTTATTAGAATCTACAATTAAAAATTGCAAATGCCAAAACAATAATTTATTATTCCTCGACTAATTTATGATTATAATAGTTTTAAATCAATAATCTATAACTATATATAGCTATAGATAACCGTGCATGGCACAGGATCTAACCTAGTTATGTGCACTATGATACACCTAAAAATAGGTGCATCACATCTATATTTTTAAGGAAAAATGGAAATTAAAAATCCAACCTTTGCACAATTTGACAATAAAAATCCAACCTTCTATTAATCTCATAAAAATCCAACCTTTATACCCCACCTTCTTTGAAAGATCCACTACCTATTGATAACCGATTTTTGTAAGTTATGTGCCACGTGTCCGTCATTTATTGGTCAATTATTTTTTTAATCATTAAAAAACAAAAAAAAATTAAAAGAAAAAAATTTGAAAAAAAAAATTCATAAAAGCCCAACCCCCACCTGGAGTCCTGACCACCCCATCCCCACCGTACCTAACCACCCCCATCCACCGCTGCACCTGCTTCAAAGCAACCACCAATTCCCCTGCCACCACTACCACTTTCCCCTGCCACCACTCCCTCTCCTTCTTCCTCCCCTGTGCAGCACAACATCCCTGCGGGGGTGCTAGGGTGGTGGTTATGGTGGGCATAGAAGAGGGATGGGGAGGTTACACAGGCCCTGACCTCCACGAACCCAGCTGCCTACCCCAACTTCCACCATTATCAAACCCCAATCGACGGCGCGGCGACCCTAAATCGACCCCATACCCTATCTCGGACCGCCTCGTTTGGGAAGATTGCGTGAGGCTTGTGGTTGGGCGTTGGTTTGGGAGGAGAGAGAGTGGAGGAGGAAGAAGAAGGTTTCGGTTTTGGGTTTGGGTAGGGTGGGTAAGTGGTGGCAGAGGTAGTGGACTGGCGGTGGTGTAGAGAGGAGAGAGAAAGAAGAGGAGTGAAAAGAAAAGTGAGAATTGAAAAAAAAAAATGTTTAACTGGTTAAAGGTCAAATAGATCTGTCAAAGAAGGTGGGGTATAAAGGTTGGATTTTTATGAGATTAATTTAAGGTTGGATTTTTATTGTCAGACCGGCAAAAAGTTGGATTTTTAGTTTTCATTTTTCCTACTTTTAAATATTTAGTAAAAAAATTGAATTTTTATATTCATATTTTATAAAGAAATGTTCATTTTGTATAAAGTAAGGGTTTGTTCTAATAGACTAAAATCAGCTGAACTGAATTGAACTGAACTGAGCTAAAATAAACTGAACTGAACTGAAATGAATATTTTATAAGAGAAGGAAATAAGGAGCTGAAATGAACTAAACTAAACTGAGCTGAATTAAACTGAACCGAACTGAAAATAAACGTATGAGAACAAGACCTAAATGTTCAGTTTATATTACAAAACTATTGAATTATTATGAGTCAGAAAAACTTCTATCAAAATTTGTGCCATCTTCTGGTGTGTCTTTAGTTTATTTTTTTTTAAAAAAATCTTTTAATGAAGGAAACAAATTATTTACAAAAATAATAATATTTTTTTTCTTATATTCCATATTAACATGTAGTAATAATTATATTTGAAATAAAAAAGATATTTCACAAATCTTTCTAAATAAATTTGGTATAAACCTAAAATTAATATTTTAAAATAATTTGTGATCTGTTTTACAATAACAAAAAATATAGTTCATATTGTTTGTCTACTTTTGTGTTTATTGTTTATTAGAATCTACAATTAAAAATTGCAAATGCCAAAACAATAATTTATTATTCCTCAACTAATTTATGATTATAATAGTTTTCAATCAATAATCTATAACTATATATAGCTATAGGTAACCGTGCATGGCAAGGGATCTAACCTAGTTATGTGCACTATGATACACCTAAATATAGGTGCATCACTTCTATATTTTTAAGGAAAAATGGAAATTAAAAATCCAACCTTTGCGCGATTTGACAATAAAAATCCAACCTTCTATTAATCTCATAAAAATCCAACCTTTATACCTCACCTTCTTTGACAAATCCATTACCTATTGATAACCGATTTTTGTAAGTTATGTGCCACGTGTCCGTCATTTATTGGTCAATAATTTTTTTAATCATTAAAAAACAAAAAATAAGTAAAATAAAAAAATTTGAAAAAATAAATTAATAAAAGCCCAACCCCCACCTGGAGTCTTGACCACCCCATCCCCATCCCCAACCTCACCGTACCAAACACCCCCATCCACCGCCCCACCGTTGCACCTGCTCCAAAGCAACCACCAATTCCCCTGCTACCACTACTGTTTTGGGTGTTTTTGTCCCTCGGGAGAGTTACAACACGAAGACTGGTCCAGGGTGAGTTGTACCTGCAAAACAAACGGAGACACCAGATGGGTGGTGCTCCGCCTCCGACGCACAAGTTAGAAACTTGAAGGGAGAAAAAGGTGCGGAAATTTAGGTAGGGATCTGCTCGGATTCCAAGCTCAGGATGTCTCTATCAAAGAGTAATTGTGTAATAAATGATCAAAAACGTGTCCCCAAAAAGAGGGTCATCTCCCTATTTATAGGGTCTTTGAGATTTGTGCCCCTGATTAGGTCACTGTACCCTAATCAGTGGTGGGCTGCGCCGCTTTGCGGCTTTCTTGGGATTTGGGCCTGAAGGCCGCCCCTTTTTTTCCCTTATTTTCTGGAGCGACACGTGTCAAGCAGAGATTGGTCCACTTAGGGCCATCCTGAGGCTGACACGTGCCGTCCTCCGATTGGACCACGTGGCGGGGTAAAATTACCCTAAACATTTTCCCCTCACAGATGTGACGTGGCACGCCACGTGGCATCTGTGACATGTGTCACGCTCCGATTGGCGGTAATTTTACCATTAAAGAGTAACCGTTCACCTTTCGGGTAAATTACGGAAATTCCCCCGTTTTTACCCTCTATATATAGTCGTTTACCCTCATAATTTTGGTACGTTTACAAAAAAATTTCTAGAGAGAACTTTGAGAGAGCAGACGTCATCCGTTTGAGTCAGGCGCAAGCAAGAAAGCTCGTCTTCCAGAGACCCAGCCGGACCCGCCTAGTTTCAGATATCTCTTCAAAAGGTATCGTCTCTGCCTCTCTCAGCTCTTTTTTCATTTTTCACCGCTTGTACATATTTCTTGCAATAAATGAATGCATCACCAACACACACGACACAGCCTAGGTTAGAGTCCAGCCGGTCACCAGGGACGGCTGAGTTTAGGACTGGGAGTACCGTCTCGGGGTGTTGGGACCACCCTTTGCCTCAGATTCCGACCAGTTACGTGTCTATGCAGGACATAATGGCTCGGATAAAGCAGACGTCAACTGATCCAAATTACAAGAGCGAAGGCTCAGGCGGCCAAACTCTTGAGGGAGAAACGTCTGGTCAGGGAGGCTAGACG